GTTTTTTTGTTGTTGTTGTTCTGCCTGTGATGATGATGGAGTGGATCTGCTGCTTGATCAGAGACAGACATGTTTGTATCATTAGGCCCCTATAGCAGTGAGGGAGGAGCACTGGGAGGAGGACAGAAAATTGTTCTGCAGTTAATGACTTTCTATTAAGTTCGGTGTACATCAGGGTGTTTAATTGCACCTAGAGGTCCATTGTAAGGTTTGTAGTAACTGAGATATTTTACATCACTGCTAATTACTTGGTATTACTTTGATGGCTTGTCTTTTAAACTCACCCTGAACTGGGGGTAGCTTCATGTTTCCACCATGAATTGACTGTTCAAAACACAAAAAATGTAGAGTTACTGGAGAATGTTAACACACAAACAATGTATGATGAGTGAGTCAGTTTCTCTTGCCCCAGAGAGTAACTTATTAAAATGAGTGTTGATATCGGGCTTTTAAAAAAAACCAAGTTAGGTTCACTAATTTTTTTTAAATTAAATTCAAGGTGACCGTTGAATACCACTTTCTTACGCTTGCTCCTCCCTACCAGTTTGGTTTTTCTACATCCCTGTGAAAGAGTCCTAGTGCAAAGTAACATAACCTATTTGGGTCGGTGGCCTGACGGGTATCTATCCTAATCTTTATTGTTACTGCAGCATTTGGAAGCCAGAAAGCAGACTGTGGGCCTTGTCATGAAGAGAAATGAGTGTTCAGAATGTATATGTAGAGGGCACAGTGTCTTTTATCTAATAATGCTTCCTGGCTTATAGTGCACGTTCTTTTCCACATCAGAGGATAGGAACTGAAAAGAAAACTCCAGAGATCAAGCAGACAAAGTTAATCAGACGAGAACCAAAAGACATGCATTGAGATGCAGGAGAATGTCTTTGCCCAGACATACTCCTTATTCTCTGCTCCCCTTTTTACACCTCTTCCTGAAGCAAATACAGAATTTTCCCCCTGGACTTCACTTGTCAGTTCGAAAAGAGAAATATGAGGAGGTGGGGTGAGAAAAAGAGAGAGAGAACAGGTGACAAGCACTGACAAAAGGACGAACGCTCCGTTAGGCTCGGTGCAGAGTAACGGGGCCATGGGGACAGCAGGGAACAATACCTGTGCAGAAGAATACTGGAAAAATAAAAGATAGAGCAACATTGACATCTATAGTAAATAACATTTGTCAACAAATGAGTTATGATGCTAAGTGGAGACAGCTGCTTTGAAAAGTAGACAGAAGCTTGTTGTTGCAGAAGGAAGTTGTGTCTTTGTGGGCTTCATTTTCTTTGCTGCTGCATTCATTAACTGTAGAGTCTTTACTGAATCTCTGGTTTGGCAATAATTTAGATGATTATGTGCCAAGCATAATTATGTTTTTATTTGTCATTTATTCCCACAAGCATGCTTTAATAATTTTGTGCTTTCTGCAATTTTATGATAATTTCTGAATAGCAAATGTACAGAAAATGTCTTTGAAAAGCTACAGGCTTTTTTTTTTGTCACTGAAAAGACAATAGTTTATTTAACATTTCTGTAATTGTATAAAACTGTGTACAGTAAATGTAAAATTGCACAGATGCTGTATATGTATTGTATACCTAATGCTTTTTGGCAACAGTGGCTCCTCAGCAGTTTCAGTCTCTCTCTCACTGTTCAACCTACTTCATTTATTGCCGCTCTCTTCCTACTAGCGTCACAAACAACTGACTCACTGCTTGCTTGAGAGTCATAATCCCTCCTTGCTGAAAATAAGCATCAAATGAAAGCATTAAATAATGCATCTCTGCTTGTTTGTTACCTCAAGTTAGATTTCAAGTTCTCTCAACCATGAGAACTTTATGCACTGATAAAAATAAAAAAGAAAGAAAGAAAAGGAAAAAGTCTCTATTTCTCTGACATTTTCAAGCTTTTCGGAACATTTTCTTATCACATATCAGAAGTGTTTCTTTTAATATCTCTCTTAAACAGGCCACATAGAAAAAAAAATTGAATGCTAAAAATAATAGTTGGAGACAGGGAAATCAAGGTGGGAATGTTTCTTTGAATTAGCAAGAATCACTAGATGCCCTCATTTCTTGCCACAAACTAAATGCTTGAGAAGAATATTAGAACTTTTCAGTAACTTAAGCCTTTACTCTCACATGGCACAGTATTTACAAGATGGCAAATTAATGCCTGTAAATCAGTTTTTTCTCTGTGTATGTTTGTTTGTTGTGGGGGGGGGGGGGGGGGGGATTTTTATTTTATTTTTTTTTTCATCATTAGTTTCTGTACTAAAAGGCAGTTTAGCTGTTGTTGCAAACAGGAGTCAACATTAACAATTGCATCCACATTTTTGGCCAAGAAAAACCGAAGCTAGATGAGACTTTACACTAAGAACAAGAATCTTTTAATTGTTCTGTTGCAGAAACATACTGGACATACATTTTTATGTCTCTAATGAACAGGAATATCTACAACTAACTGTAAATGGGATAGCTAATTTTGTATCTTTGGGTGATATGGCCTGCTGGCAGCATGGAGACCAAAGGGACCAAGAACTGATCTCTAAGAAACTTCATCCATCCATCCATCATCTATACCTCTTATTCCTGAATCACGGGGGGGCTGAAGCCAATCCCAGCTGACATTGAGCAAGAGGCAGGGTACACCCTGGACAGGTTACCAGTCTATCACAGGGCTGACATGTAGACAAACAAGAAACTTCATACACTTTAATACAGACATCAAGACACAGGGAAGTTTTTTTAACACATAAAAATAAGGAAAAATCAGTCCAGTGAATAACACTTTGGCTATCCACTACTGGTGCTTTTTTGCCAAGGAGTAGGTGTCCTACCCATCAAGAATGATGAAACAGTGGATTATCTGAACAAGATATTCCCCCTGCAGTCCAGCAAGAGCAGATCATAATATGGCAGTGTTAAGTCCATGCCTGTCAAGGCCTTTGACAGGGAAGACTTCCAATTCAGTTTAAAAAATGCATTATCAGAGTGCACCCATATTAAACTAAGCTGAGCCTTCCTCCGACAAAGAGATGGGAATTTTCTGGATGCCCTTCTTACCCTGGAGGAATTGCTCAGAGCTTTCCTTTCAGTTGTCATGTAGCTTTGAAACAACAAGCTCAGCTTTTGCTCTCTTTCCTCTGGTGTCCAAATCCTCCACCCATGCCATTACTTCATATGGGGTGTACACACATTGTGAAGACACAAGACTGTCTTTGCAGCCCACATACCTCCGTTGATGTCCCAGTGAGCTACACCAGCCCAGTGTCTGACAGCCCTGGCTCAATTATCACTGTCATTGTGAAATCCAAGGGGTAAACTCTGTTTGTGTTGCTCCTACTCAGTAGCTCCCTGTGGATTTCTGGCTCCCTGTCACTCTCTCTAATTCAGTGAAAATGTGCCTTGTTGAAAACACTGAAACATTTTAGGTCTCTCCAGCAGGGCGGTATTCCTCTCGTCTTTTGCCCTGCTACCATGTCTTTTCTGACAGTGGTACAAGAGTGGCAGGCTCCCTTTCTATCTATCTTCTTCAAAGAATTTAATTCTGTTGCCTGTCCTTTGCTTATGTCCTCTTAGACAGAGGTGAGGGACTGGTGTGAACTCTCTCTCCACCTCCCTGCTGAAGGCCTATGTGGGAGGATTAATGCTGCTGTGGTCTTTGCTCCCCCCACTGCACTGTCTCACTTGCTAGAGACTGTGCTAGTGCAACAGAAACTCCCATTCTGATAAAATGTACTGAAGTCTTGGGAGAGCATATATAATAATGCCATCCTGTATTAGCTGTAAACAGAAACAGCTGCTGGCTTTCACCATCAGGTTGAGGTCATACTGCTGTTTTGCAATCAAGACCATGAGCTTGAAGCCCTTTTAATGTTTTTAAAAAGGAAAAAAAAAACAATCATGCACACACTCTTGCATATTAGTGGCTTCATGGATACCCAAGCTGTGATTGGACCTGAAAGGTCAAAAACAGCACCTGGTGGTGGAAGAAACTCTGTTGTAAAGAGCAGCCTTTTGCTTGTTAGCTTTCACCTCCCTCATGGGATGTAAAAAACTTCAGTGCCAAGATCTGGAGATCAGGGTCACCACATCGCCCTCCAGCCTGTGTAGGTGGATGAAGTGAATCTTTCTTTCTTTACACAGAAAAGTCACTGTCTCCTGTTTAACCCATGAGAGTGCAATGGAATCCAGGGTAAGGTTCCTTTGTCCCTCAATAGGAGCTGACTGTGGTTCTCGAGAGCTTTGTGCAGGTTTCCAAAGTGAACAAGAAAAAAATGATAGTGATGCATGTAGACGGGAGCTGTCCATTAAGCCTTACGCCATTTAGATTTCAGGGTTCAGTGTTATGAATTATTCTTAGAGGGAGGGTACATTACACATTTGTGCCCTGTGTGTGTTGGCATGCTATGTGGAGTGCACAGCATTGTGAACTAGCCAATTGGAATGTCTTCGTTTTGAAGGCATACCAACTGGCAGAGCAATGGTGTTTGTTGGCATAGGGGAATCCTCTCCTCGTGTTTTCATACGCTGGGTATTAATCACAACTTGTGGTCAACACTGACATTTATCTGGCTTTACTAAGTAGGTGTGCATAGGTTCTTCTGAGTCCTACTTGCTTATGTTAGAACAATATACAGCAGCACCTCTGTTTGCTGCTGTGTAAGATGGATAGATTGGTATTTACAGGTCATTATGAAAAGGCAGCTATATGTTTATGTAAGAAAAGGGAAGTCCAAAAGGTCCTATCTGTCCATCCACCACCCTGACCATAATATAATTACTTAGCACTATGGTCGTGTCAGGCTAGTTTCTCCTTCTACCAGTGTCTCCACTACTGTCTTGTGGAAACACTGTAATATCAGTTTTCAGTTTTAATCCTTACACACCAGTGGGACTCAGTATCTTGAAAGTTGAAGTAACATCATACATTTTGTAGCTTACATAATGTATTGAGTTTTGTAATACATAATAAGAGAAGCTAATAGCATTTTCTTAAAATTTCAGCTCAGGAGCAGAACTTTGGTGATCAGTACCTTCATGTGTTCCTTCAAGATGGAAGCCCTGTTGCTGAACTCGGCTGTGGGGGCAGTCATGTCTTGAATACAGCTGCAGGCCAGAACATCAACAACAACAGATGGACTTCAATCACAATCCAGTATGATATACATTTTCTACATTCCTCTTTAGTACCTAGTATCCCACTAGCAGACTCTTATCAGTGTCTTGGAAATGACATTTTTTTATAATCAGTTATATTTCATTTATTTCATGCAATTATTTTTAAGTTGGAAAAACTGGACTAATAGCCTTGTTTTCAGGGATCAACAAGTCTTTGTGTTGGGACAAATACAGTGTTTGCCACAGAAAGTAGAGGATATAAACGCTTGAATGGCTAAGATTTGTTTATGGCAACTGTGTAGTGCCTGATGTGTCAAAATGTCGAAGTCCCATAAACAAAGAAAACTGGCAGTCTTGGTTTTGGCTCAGTGAGCACTAACAGCCAGCTGCATTCTTCATCCAAGTGCTACACTTTTATTGTTTTTGCAAAAAGTGACAAAACCAAACAAAATATTACCCCAAAATATCTGTTACCATTCTGGGCATCTCGTAGCTAGTTCACAGAGACAGTCTGCTGAGAAAACTGGCCAACTGGGCAAATGGCTGTAGAGCATTTTCCTGTAAATGGCTGAGACCCTCAAATCTTAATTTCATACATTAGAGACAAACCTTATACCTTTCAAATGACCCTGTAATTTTCTTAAACGTATTCAGGAATTGATATGATTTAGCATAGGGTGCACTGTGCACAGTGTAATTCTTTTTTACTTCAAAATAAAAGATCTTGCATACATGATGAGGCCTTGTAGAGCAAGGCTTAGTTCAATGACCCGTTAGTGGATGAATGATACTGCGTATCAGTCCAGATTATTACATTTGAATATATTAATATAAATGTACTGTGTTAAGGAGGTAGATCTCTTTAAGTAGCTTTGATTTAATCCTGTTAAAACAATGACACAATGTTGGATCAGATAAGCAGACTATATCCCATAAATGCAACATTGTTACCCCAAGTCTGTATGAAGTGTGTAAGGGGTTGATTTAAAGTTTTATGTCTCAGAGCTCGGGTGGAGAATTATGTTCAGTCTTGTATGAAATACTCACTCTCCTGAAAACAAGTCTAGATTTTGACTTTTTTTTAGCATTTAAAAAAACTATAGGCACAAATATGAAACTAACAATTTGTTTTCCTACAACAAAGCTTTCAATTGAATGCATAATACGATACAAAACTATAGCATAACATAATAAAATGCATGCAAGGAATTAACCTAGTATGTAAATACCCAGTATGTAAGCCCCAGGAACATGGTGTACACTACATGAACTTCATAGCAGTAACTCGGCTGGAGTCAGGTGGTAGTAGCTCACTTAGAAAACAATCTAGTACACAAAAGCAGTAACTTGTTGCCAACTTGCCAAACTTCTCACTAGAGTTAAAATTTCTTTTTGGAAAACTCTCTAGATGAAATTATTTCTTAAAAGCCACAAGCAGCAAATGTAGCTGCTCTTTTGGATTATAACAGTTGACTCCTGAGCATTTGACAAAATACTTGTTACCAAATACCAACCAATCCATATAGAGCTAATCACAGTGCTTCCTTCCCCTGTCTTTGTAGTGCACAGACAGGCTTACAGCTCAGGCACCATGAGGCCAAATGATACAGTAGGACGAATTAATGAGGGCCTGCTGCTGAGCTCTGCCTCTATTTATTCTTGATCGCCTCAGCAATTTTTATTCATATGCAAATGAACTCATGACATCATCTCGTCATGTTTGAGAAGTGAATACTTCTTTTTTTGGATGATAGCTGGCAACGCTGAATAAATACAGTGACTGCAACTTGCTGTTGTCAGCATGTACAGGGAAGTGGTTGTAGTTAACAGTAAATAATTCAAGCTCCAATGACCAAACAGGGAAACCTCAAATTGTCTGATGTCACTGCAACACAGATTAATCTCTTTCCTTTTTCTCTGTTTTGCCCTTTTTCAACTCTCTTTCTCTCACACACTCACACACACACACACTAACATTAAACCCACCAAACTTATTGTCATCTCAAGCCTTTTTGTGCTGACACACCGAACAGAAAAAAGAAAACATTTGCCTTTTGCTTCTGTTCACTGCTATTGTTCATATATGTCGAATATATTGTGAATATTTGATAAAATATTTAGCTGCCCCCTTCTGACAGTAAACATATCTGAATGAATCAAATTCTTCTTTTGTAGAACAAGATTGCACTAAAATGATCAGAACAATCCAAACAGGCTGCCGTATACATAAAACATCCAGTACTGTCGATCTCTCTGGAGCAGAGAAGTGACTGCCTTCAATTTATTTTTGCTTTATAATCTCTCAAACTGTGGTCTGTGTAGGAAAATTGCATTTTTGAGGAAAATATCATTTAGATTTACTCAGGCACACTATCAATAGCTATTTTTTTAATGCGATGGTGTTACACTGCATTGTTTCCTAGAGAAATAATGCATAACACACAAGCATATTGCTAGTACACGTGAAGTGCACAAAACATTCCCAGCAACTTTGTTTAATGTTTAATAGCTTTTTTTTTTTTTACAATTACATCTACAACCCATTTGTTTGTAGTTTTCCAGTATGAACTATAAGGTTGGCAATACAAAAGGAAAAATGCCCTGTGCTGCCATATAATTTCTCTAAGGGGAGTGTGCAAGGCGAAAGCTGTGTCATTTTTCATTTGAGGAGGACATGTTTGTTGTTGGTTTGTTTTTTTGATGTCGGGAAGTTTTTTTCTTTTTCTATGGGAATGTTTGGGGCAATACTGCTACGATTAAAGTTTGAGAGCGACAGACTCCAAATGCTCCCCTGGTCATTTGTGAGGTTGTGTACATTATTGGCTGAATCCCATTGTGCTTAGTATTCACTGTTGGAGTCATTCTCATTCATACTGTCAAAGATCAATGAGGATGACACATAGCATCCTGCAGCATCATTTCTTTCCTTGTCACAGGTGAACTCAGACTCCCTGGCACATACAGTTATTCAAATTTATGCCACTTTTGTGGGTGCTTTTTTCCTCAGGTCTCACATTCTGTATGTTTCTGACTTATTGGAAATATTCTTTTTTTTATCACAGACAATTTTGGTTTTGAAGAAGAAGCTTTATTTATTGTCATTGTAACACATACAACGAAATTATGTTTGGAGCCGAGAGCCCTGGGCCGCTGCATGCATACACGCCACCATCACGGGCAACAGGGGGGGTTCAGTGTCTTGCCCAAAGACACTTCAACATGTGGACTGCAGGCACCGAGATTCAAACCTTCAACCTTCCGGTTGGGAGACGACTGCTCTACCCACAGCACCACTGTCGCCTCCCCGTTTTATAGATTGTCATATTATTTCTGTTTGAAATCCACTGAAGTTTCCATTTTACTGCAGTCTAGGAATATTTGGCCACATCTACAGTTTTCTGATCTTCTTTGTTAGATGCTGTGAACATGTCAGTGTCATGTTGCCTGTTTGCTTATTTGATGACAAATTGACTGCTGTTGTATGTCTATTTATAATTCAAACCTGAATTGCTTCTTGCCTAAGTTATTTCTGATAAATTGATTCAAAATGTCCTCACTCCAATCAGAAAGCATTTGCATTGTATGTTAATTAGGGCAGCACGGTGGCACAGTGGTTAGCGCCGTTGCCTCACAGCGAGAAGGTTCTGGGTTCGGGCCCCACCTGAGACCTTTCTGTGTGGAGTTTGCATGTTCTCCTCGTGCTTGCGTGGGTTCTCTCCAGGTACTCTGGCTTCCTCCCACTGACCAAAGACATGCAGCTTAGGTTGATTGGTGTCTCTAAATTGCCCATAGGAGTGTGTATGTGTGGTTGTTCGTTTATGTGTTAGCCCTGCGATGGATTGGCGACCTGTCCAGGGTGTACCCCGCCTTCGCCCGATTGCTGGCCGGGATTGGCTCCGGCCCCACCCGTGACCCCGTTCAGGGACTAAGCGGTAGAAAATGAATGAATGAATGAATGTATGTTAATTGTGCATAGTGGTCCAGAGTGGCAACACTCAAATAGGAGCAATCTGGGGTTCATTGTGGACAAGGTGAGCCATGCATCAGTCCATCAAGGAAACCCATGACAAATGGATTGTCGATGTTTTTAAATTCTACCCTGAAGTTTGTAACAGGCCTACTGTTGAGGAGAAGGGCTAGAAGGGTTGTTAAGAAGTCTGCAGCCAAATCTGACAAATCTTCTCACTGTGATTTTCTGTGTAAAACTAGTGGAGTGTCCCATTTTCAGCCACCCCACATGTTTGTAAATTACCTTATTAGGGTTAAGTAGAAAATCAGAGTTATGAAATTCCAGTGAAACATGACATATTTTCTCAGTCTTCCCTTAGTACTCCTGCAGTGGAGTATGTCTCCTTAGAAGTTTGCACTTTGGAGTCGCCCAGCCTTCACTACCTCAAGTCTCACCCAGATCTCCTGAAGCAATGTGTTCTTGTTCTAAAAAAGCAACACAGGGCAGCTCATCCAAGATACTGAAACCACCGAGTTACAGGCATTGCATTACAAAGTTTGCTATCATTGTCACTTTTCACACTAACATGTTAAAATTTTACTGATCAGTTATTGTACTAGTGAAAATGCCAGCAGTTTCACATGGAATGTTGTAGTGAGTCTACTAAAACTTATTTAATGGTCTGTTCACTGACCACTGAATATTGTTTCCTTGTTAAAAAAAAATATATAGACGTGGGTAGGAAATGTCGCCTAGCAACAACTGCTCTAAAACAGATGAGTGCTGTGATAAGAAATGTTGGAAAGAATTTCAAAAAAGTAGCAAATTTGAATAAAAACTGTCAGAGTTCTTTGAATTAATGCCACAGAAATCTTCAAGTACTGTCCTGGTCAGAAACATCTGTTCACCACTGTCCAGGAACATGCTTGTTAAAAAAGAACCGAGAGGGCTTTATTGTGTCTTATGTCTACTCTGCATTTTGGTACACATGCATATGTACAGGTTTAAGGCAACTTAAAATCATTGCCTCTGTAATTACTGTTTATCTGACTACTTTATCTGGTAAAGTAATCACTATGCAGTTTGGGAAAGTGCTGTAATCAGTTTAGGAATGAGATTCTGTGCACAAAACATCCCCTTTGATGATACAAATGTGGGTCGTTTTATTCATATGAAATGCAGCCAGCACCAAGATACGACAACCAGAACTGGCTAACCATAAACACTCTGGTAACCCGCCTTCCCAGCAGGCAACTCTTTTATGGGGACATGTCCCTATGAGGTGTGCAATGACTGAGTGCACTAAACAAATGCTTATGGTGAACCTTGTTCCCTTCGTCTACTGCATTAGTAAATAGCACTTGATTACATTTTACAAAATACACTAACAGTGGTTAGAAGCCATCCATAGCAGTTTCCCACTGGGTTTAATTTCTGGAAGATTAATGGGAAATGCCATGTCACTTGGGCTGCAGGTTGAAAAGTGACATTTGAGTATTTAGCATTTTGTTTTTAAATCTGCAACTTTTTCACCAAATCTGAAACTGGTATGTTTGAGTCCCACAATATTTAGTAGTTCTTTGACAGATACTTCCATAAGCTTCATTGAAGAAGTAACCAGCAGCCCTGCCTGCTCACTCAAAATGTTTTTTGTGAAGCTTGACAGTGCCAAGAGACTTGTTGTGTGCTGTCTAATTGTATTACGGGAGATATAATGATAGAACACAGGCTACCCAAATTAATTGAGGCTTGCCAGTCACAGCACAAATTATGCAGCAAATGCTGCAGTGCTGCGTGTGAGAAAGTCACTGCACCAGAGCCAGAGCAGGCATTACAGCCAGTGTAGGTATAGATTAGCGTCTGATACGGGGCTTGTTGCTCTTAAGGAAGAACCAACAAACAGATCCTTCCTTCCTGACATCTTGTGCAGTAGGTGCTGTGGTGTGATACTAATTTCATAACACCTGATTATGAATCATATGAGGTTTATTCTTCTCGTTTCACGCATATCTGATGTATAACTACAGTATGTTGTGATAAAAAGAATATCAAACTAGCACGTGGCACTTATTATTACTTCTATTATCAATATGTTTGACCCATTTACATCTTATCTGCTTGCAAGTATGAAACACAACTCAGCATAATGTTTAGTTACAGAACTAATAGACTCTTGACTCTAAATCACTAAATGACTTGCAAATTATAAATTTACCTCTAACATGTTCACATTATCATCTGCTTTTTGTGAGAATCTGAAATGTGATGATGATAATAAGCAACTAAAAAAGCCAGTGAAAAGTCTTGCAAGGGCACCAGCACAGTGCATGATGTTTTACTGCCATCTGTTGCCAGTGCTTTCTGATGTTTTATGCAATAGTAATATTTTAATGATGATTCTCCCTCATTATTAATTTTCTGCAGGGGGCTGTGAAGGAGGTACATTCAAACAGGATTGTAAAGACAAACACCTACCACCAGGTTTAACAAATACCTTTGTGTGAAGGTGCTACGATCCCGTAACACTGCAGGTCATATTTCAGTGGTGATCCTCAGGAAACCTGCTGTAATGCACTTGAACTGAATTAGTCACACACCAGACACCGCCTAAATGAGGATGTTAGAGATGACAAATCACTTATGATTAGAGCATTAGCCAGATGAAGAAATGCATAAATGATTGACTAAGTAAAAATGATCTCAGCCATACTGTGGGTTTGTGTGTTTGGCAAAAATTTAATATTCATACAGTGTTGTTTGTTTATCTCAATTTGGGAATTTGTTATTGTTGATCCTTTGAGATCCAGCAGTGAGTGGTGCACAGGGAGCCCAATAAGAAATTGCACACTGCTTCATCTCTGCGTTAGACAAACCCTGGCCTCTTTTTCTTCCGATTCACTCGTATGTTTGTTTGTGTAATTGAATCCATTGTAGTTTTGTGTTTATATTTATGTTGGTGTGTGTGGTGGTGACAACAGCAGGGGTTTATCTGGCATATTTTTAGCTCTCTAACTACTAGACCGAGAAAAGTAGTCAGACAATAGTCATCTTTATACATGGTCATTTGTGCCTTAGAGGAAGACCAATGTAAATTAGCCTGGTGGAGCATTCGATGTGCTCATGAGAACTCATCAAGTAATATCATCCTGTTTGCTTAGTGAGCATGCTCTGCATGTCTCACAGGTACAGTCTTTGCAGCATTAGCAAGCTGAATAAAAAGCTACACTAGTAAGCACCAAAACATACCACAAAGGCCCTTGGCAACACAGAGTTGTCTAACATTATTGTGATGTTTCACACTTCACCAAACAGTCTGTTTTTGCCACACAAAAATATGGATCACAATACTGGATCTTTTCAGTCTTTTTTTTTTTTTAATTAGGATCCTGTTATAGTCTTGTGCCTTGAAACTAAACAGTGGGGCAGTATAATTTTCTGAAATCACTCATTGATCACATACTGTTGTGCTAATGTCAGGAGAATTACCCCAGAAACCCACCTGGCATCCCGAGGATGGTGATGGATGTCTTCTGTGAACGTTAGGTTACATTTTACATTTGTAGTTTTAAATGTGCCTTAATGTATCTGTGTGTGTGTGTGTGTGTGTGTGTGTGTGTACGAAACAGCTCTCGTGATTTCCATACCTGTAATTAATCCTACCTGAAGGTGCATGTATGTGTGTGTGATTGCCTCAGGGAGGTGTCCTGGAAGGCTGTTTCAAATTAGCACAAGTGCAATTGACCTGATGGTTTCCATCTGGCCATTAAAGCAGACATTTGGGGGGTGGGGTGGGTTTCTCATCAGAGGTACAAAGAATGGACAAATACATTTTGCAGAATCTGATTTGCAGATAAGTGACATATTACTTATGTTCCACATGTTTAAAGGCAACAGTGAAACAAAAGTGTGTCATACAGATTCCTCTCGAACACAGTCATGATTATTTGTGTGGTGCAACGTGTGCAACCTTTTGCTTAATGTACAGTCCTGTAAAGAGACGGCTGTTGCATAGTATATTGCTGGTATAAATTCAATGATTAATAGAAGAGAGGGAATCACTTGACTTTGCCAAAGCTGGAATATGACACAAGTAGACCAGCTACTTAACATTATGGCTGCAACATTAATGACTAGTACAACTGTATATTTCCCCAGAGAGCTACAGAGGGTCAAATGATAAAATTGTCTTCCTTCTCATTAGCTTTATAATGCATACCTAGTTTGTGCCCTCATTTTTGTCATTAATTAATCCTGAATGACATAATGAGCACTTACAGCCATGATCATGTTTGTTGTGGTTGATTTGTATCATACTGTACATTACAGCTCGATCGTGTAAATGAGTTGTGAGTGGTTATCTCAGCCAGTGGTTTATCTTTAGTGAATTTACAAACATTATTATGTGAATTTAATATCTGCTGAGGAGCACGACAACTTACAGAATATCACCGTGCCACTGAGCACAAACCTGTTTCTGGTCTTTTAAATCCAGCTGTGGAAATTTTTCTCTATTTTTGTTTTCTCTCTTGGGCTTTTTGGCTGTAGCTTTGCATACAAACGCACCATTGCTTCCAACCCAATCTACCAGTGCATAAACTTTCTCATAAAATAGTGTGAAATGTATATATTATCATACATAGCCAGTTTATACTACATTCTCAGTGGTCACATTAGCAGCTCCATTACTGTGTCCCTGCTCTGTCTGTCCCTCGACCAGAATATTTTTCATGCTTTGCTGAATTTAGTGTGAGTATCAGGTATTGTGAGGAGCACCCTTTCTGGCTAACCTTGGTGTCTCTCTGTTCTCTCTCTCTCAACAGATACAGTCTGCCTGTGGGCAAACACGGAAGGTCATGTATGATTGAAATAGCTGCAGATAATGGCACAGCTCAGCGTCTCGAGGAGTACATGTCACACCCTGTGTCAGAGGTAGCCTGCCCTGCCTGAAATCAAATCAACCCCTTGCACAACCATTATCTCAGTTTAACAATTCAAACATTTTATCATGTATTTGGCAGCTCTTTCCTTAATGGTACAGTCCACCTTAAAATGTAAATGCCAATAAAAGCACTAATATAGTTTGGCATGGATGATTTTGGCATCCATTGAGTAAAACGTTACAGGGATTCAATGTCTTTTATTCATATAAAGTATGTTTAGAACCTGAAGCTGTAACTGTTCTGTTTAGCGTTCACTTGTTCTGTTTTTAGTCTCAGTTAAGTTCGTAGTCAAACCAAAACAGTCCTGTTAAAAAAAAAATTAAAAGAAAAGGGCTGCAACACGAAAATCATCTTGGAATTTAAGTAATGGATTTACAAGTCTGCAAGTCGATCATGTGCCAAAATACTGCACACATGTATAATGTTATAATATAATGTTGCTCTGAGAATTTCTCACAGCTTCCATCAATTAATCTTTTGTCATGACAGTCATGAGGTAAACATTAGAAGTGCAGCTATCACCTTTCAAAGTAATCTACCAGGAATGTGCACTTAAACATATTTTACTGGCCACCCTAGGACCTCGTCAGCTGATGTTGCGTTACATTCTGCTTGGTATTGGTATCAGCACTAGTATCAAAAGATTTTAAAGGATACTGTAAACAGTGTTAGTTGGTTTATAAAGTAAAATAAAGAAAAAGCTCCTGGCTACTGCCTGAGGATATACAGCTAAATGATAGATTATATCATGAGTGAACTAGCGATGTGTTATCAAAGCTAGTTTAGCGCACAGTTTTCGAGTAACAGAAGTTGCTTTATGCATAAAGAACATTTAAAAAATGCTCGGGCGCATTTTACATTTTCTGCATGGCAAGTATGTAAGAAGCACGAAGTTAATTCTGACACAGTCTTTTCACTCTGGCTCATTAATTTGATTAACAACACCTATATTAGTTATTAAATTAATAACTGTGTTTTTCACTTTCAAAGACGCAGAGGGGCTCAACCTTCCCACAGGCTCAGCAAGCCTGACCCACACTCATTGTGATATATGGTCTTCTAATTTGAGATGCCAAGATGTTTCTTTTCTATTAAAACACGTGTGACACGGGCATCCTTGCTACATTTACATGGCACATTGGTTCTGGTTAGCCTTTGCCAACCTTTATTATATTACCAGGATCTGAAGATGAATGGGTTTTGATTTTGGTAAGTGCTCACCACCAGTCAAATGAAATCAAATGAGATTTTTACACTAATTAGACAATGGATAATAATTGCTGGCATGCAGTAACTAATGAGAGGGTGGTGTATGAAGTACAGATTGTAAAGCCATTGAGGCAAATTTGGTGTGACTTGATATTGTGAACCCACAGACGAACTCAAGCCAATGCTTCTTACATGGTCTGACTGCAGACCTCAAATAAGTCATGAAGTTAACTTCTGCCAGTTTCCATTCTGAGACTCATCATGCAGTTAAGTGTAGTAATGTCAGCACAGCACTATTATATTAACAAAATAAGTTGGCGTCTGTCAAATTATAAGTAATAATAGAAATGATGGACTGCAAAGTCAGTAAGACAAGTCAGTCAGCATTGCACTCGGTGATACAGGCTGGAAAGAGAAGAGAGTTTGAGTTCTGTCCTAAATCTTACAGAATGGCAGTGTAAGAGTTCAAGACCTAAACTACTCTGAACATATTGATTATGTTTTTTGAAAGTCTTACTGCTCTATTTTTAACAAAGGTCATGTTCACAAAGCAAGCTCTTGCTGCTCAGTAACAATTTGCTGCACATCAGTTTGTGCCCGGTGACTCTGTGCTTTTCAGTGGGGACAAATTACTCCTCTAACCTGGCCCACATATGTACAAGAAGACTACGTAGCTGTATAATAATGAAAGGTTGACCACAGTGATCAGTGCTGCCTTCAAATAGAACTCAAAAATCAGCATACAGCACTCATGAGCCCACTAAGTCATGAATATTACATCAGTAGGTCTTTCAATTAGACTTATCTTTTAAATATGGTAAACACACTTGAAGGCACCATAAAGTCATTCCATATTAGTCCACTGTCATGGTGCAGCTCCAGGGGCTCATAGCTGGTTGTATCATACAAAATACAGTTTAGCTTATTGTAAGAGTAATCAGCCACAGCTTATTATTTTATTTGAATCTTCAGCTTTATTATAGGGCTCTTAACTATGGCATGACATACGCATTCTTTTTCTCTTTTTATAGGCTTTTAAATATGCAATAGCTTTGTCATTTAAAACTTGCATTAAGCCACCATCCCAAATGATTATATGGTCTAACACTCACTGTCCCTCCAACGAACACCTCCACTGCAGCTGTCTAACACCATTCCCCCAGTGCCAGCAGGGACTCATGATGAATGTTACATTGAAGGAACGTCAGAGACATAAATTCCATCATGACTGCTCAGATTTAATAATGATACGAAACTGGAAACATCAAGATTTGGTATAATTTCCTATGTTCAGGGAGTTTAGGGAGGATTTTTTACCTATATTGTATCCTATACAAAGCTGGATATCATCAGAATAACTGGTAAACTATACTGTTTATATATTCCAGTTCAACAGAATATTACTTAAAGGGACATTTGGAAAACACAAGGACTGAGCCTTGGAGATTTACATTATTAAGATTTATATTTATGTACTGCATCCCAGCAGAGTCATGTCTGTCTGACTCAAGAATTAACACATGACACCAGAGGTCTGCATTGCTAAAGGTATTACATATAGTAAATTATAAATATCAGTTTTAACAAACTTTATCAGGGTTAATACCTTTAGTGAGTAACCACTTTCCAGAGTTGATGGCAAAATATTGTGTTGTTTTCTGTTTGAAAAGTTTTAGAAAAAAATCTGAGAACACTATAATGAAATTATTTTGGATATGACTGAGCGAAAATTAAGGCAGCTTTAAATATTAATCTAGAATGAAATGAGCCATAGGAATGGGCAAAAACCTTTGTTTACAATGAACAAAATTTGGAGATTGATCAGTCTCATTATGTTGGCTGGATCAATTTTTGTGATCTTAAATAATAATAATAAGTAAGCAGTTAGTAGGGTTGACATTTAGTGTACATATTAGAAACACTTTTTTGAAATGCTCTGTCACCACATTACATAATGTGAAAGAATGTGTAATGGAGCTGTGATACTGGTTGATTTGTTATTAATTCATCATCATGCATGGTGTGAGTATGAAAGTGTTACATAAACCTTGTGAAGTAGTATTCGGAATTCATTTTGTCATAGCTCCGAATGAACCGTATGTAATGCAGTGCTGATATGACAAGGTCTTGTGCTACATTCTTTTTATGCAGCCCGACTTTGTTAGCGGACAGTTAAGCCTTACTGACCGTTATGGTAGGATAAGCTGCAAGTTCATGGAAAATATCTGCATGAATTCCCAATTACCTTGCACGTCAAAGACAGCTTACAGCTTTTTTTAAATTTTGCCTCTCTCTCATTGTATCAGGGTGTGTTATAGTATCAGTAGTATTAGTATGTAGTAGAATTTCAGTAGCTGATTGTGTTAATCTTTCTTGTTCATATACATTAAGGTTCTGCCAATGTAATAATAATGTATTACTTGCAAATTACTACTCATAGGGGGACATGTACTGTAGTATATAATGTGATTTACTAAATGATAACACTGATGACTGATTTTCCACTGACTTTTGCAGGGAATTTTTGGAGCGATAGTTCTTGGGGATGTTTCATCCCACCGGGAGACGCACGATGGGGGTGCAAGGGGAGCGAGGAGATTCATTGGCTGCATCAGGGAGCTTCAGGTTAACTCAAAGGAGATTTTCTTGCTGGGTGAAGCAGTGAGAGGGAGAAACATCAAGAACTGTGACCTGCCTGTCTGCCAGCACTTTCCCTGCCGTAATGGAGGAACTTGTGTCAGGTAGTAGGTCACCTTTTACACTAATTAAACATTTCCTGTCTACCTTTGAACATGAAAGCCACTGAGAATATAAAACTCTCTTTAATATTTCTTTCTGTGATATTAATACATAGCACACACAAAACGACCCCAGAGACCAGGTGAATTGCAGCTGGGCACATACACGTCACTCAAAAGGCACGAGTGTTTATTCAAGGTCATGTAAAACAAAAATGTAGCATGAATGACAGAGTCATTACATCTCCATGTTAGACCTGCTGTTTTCTTATGCCCATGTGACTCGGTGTGAAGCAGGATTGTCAGAGCCACACAGTTTCCCTTGTAGACATGTAAGGCGCTATTTCCCTCTCAGTGCACATTTCTACATCACCTAATTCGCAGTCGTTACGCAATTTTTCTTGGTTGCATGCCAAGTTTTTGTTGCACATTGATGTTTGGTATTTTCCTGCTATGAATAAAAGTCCTTACGCTGAGGTGAGAGGAGAGGCACAGTTAAGGTTGTGTGTATGCTAATTAGGCAGCGCAGTGTAATTTTGTTGCTCGTTTTGACCCGAAATAGTGATAACAGTGACACCTGCTCAGACCACCTTTTATATATACCACCAAATATTTCAAGATCCCTTCTTCCCTTATTTTTATCTAATCCAGTCCATCAGACTGCCATCACACTTCACTTACCATTCATGTTGCCTGTCTATTAAAGTATATATTAACTACATATGATGCTCTTTCACCTTAGCTAACCCAGAAAATAGCTGCCCTAAATGTCTTCTACATTGTCTTATGACACTATCAATTAATATTTGCATTTATTAAACAGGAAATGAAAAAGGGCACAATGAATAATGGAATATAAATAGCTCTAAGAATACCAATTAAGCCCCAGTGGCATTGTGGTCACATTGACTTGTCATGTGCGAAAGAGTGGGCCTTGCAATTATCTGTGTGATGAATATGCGTTAATGCAGTATCCTCTTGAACCACACAGCTTGCAGGGGGTCATCAGAAGTTCACAGAGCTCTGCTCATTTTTTTAGTCACCCTGGATTGCACTGTCAAAGTATAATAAGATGAATAAGGTTTTGATTGTGGGTTCAGGTGGGGTGATTGTAGTGTTGTCTCCTCTTCATGTGGTTTTCTATTCACCTAGACGTGTAGAAATATCAATATTAAGCCCAACAGAATGATGGCTTGCGGTTGGTGGGTGATACATACATATTAGGTATTTAAGAGACATCACTATGAAAGGCCAGGCAATCAGCACCTAAGGACCATAGCCTTTTTATTCATCAGTACCAGCTCTGTGATGCCTGATATATCTGTCCTTTATAACTCTCAGCTACAGGTTGCACAGACCATGACATTAGACCCACTATAAATACAGCGGTTGGAAATGTTAAAGCAGAAATAATTTTCAAGAGGCACACAGGACTTTGTTCTGCATGTACCTTGCTCTGCAACAAAGAACAACACTAGGAAGAAGAAAAGAATATTTCTTTAGAATAAAATATGAATGCTTTTATAGTTGTTATGAAATGCAACATGTCCCCATCTCCTGATTAAGCAGTTAAATAATATATTCAGTTCCATGTTCCCCCCTATGTAATCTACATTCATAACCTATACAAAGATGTATTTGTGACTAGCTGGGGCGTGCATGGTGTGAAGAAATTTTCACCTGGACCCCCTGCTCCTGCCTGTGAATGTCCTGCTGGGGTGCTGATGCTGATGGAGTCCCCTCATGCCTCTGTCAGGGCATGCAGGTGAACCTTTAGTGGGAGCAGGTGGCAGCACCCCACAGAGTGTCTGCGATAGGGGAATGGCAACTAAGATTAGACACCTTGTACCCTGCACCCAGTAATGTTCATGTTAAAATACAAAGGCAAGTGCGATTTTTGAAATGGCAATTCACGCTTTCGTCAGTTCTAGACTTGACTTTTGCTTCTCTCCACTGGCTTCCTGGTAATATTAGGGTTGAGTTTAAGTTGTTTTTTGTTTTTCAGGCTTTGCATGGACTGGAACCTTTTATAGCTCTGTGATCTGATACGGTGGAACAAGCAGCAAGATCTCTTTAGGTCATCGAATCAGTTTTTATTACAGGTACCAAGGTCTAATCACAAACACTGGGGTGAACATGCCTTTGCCATAGTTTACCAGTAGTTTACCTCTGCCACGGACCTGTCAGTTTTTAATTAAGACTTATTTATTCTTTATGGCTTCTAACACTTAGTGGAGTCTGATATTCTGTTTGAGTTTGGTTTTATGTTACCCGTCTTTAATTGTTTTGCTGTTATTTTCTATAATGATCCTGTTTTTCTGTATGTTATGTGTATTTATGTGACATACTTTGGTGAACAAGATGTTTTAAAGTGGTGTATAAATAAATTTAGATTTGATTTGATTTATGTTAAGCTAAGTTAGCCAGTCTTGGCAGTCGCTTCATATTTATTGTAGAGACATGAGAGTGGTTAACAGTCTTCTCATGTAAGTCTTAACAAAAAAAAAAAGATTAATAAGGGGAATTTGGCAAAATGTCAAACTGTTCCTTTATGTTGATGTGGTGAGCTTGTTAGCACATTAAAAAGACACAGCAACATTGAAAAATGTTTTGCTCTTCGGCTGTTAAATGCTGCACTATGTTCTCCAGCTAGTTGCAGACTTGTCTGTCTGCTGTTTGGTGCTGGGGATGTTGTGTACAGTTGGTCAGAGCTGGTGAAAACAGTGATAGTGACCCAAAACAGGCCTCGCAATAAAAACAAAGAGCTGAAAGAAACTGAAACGCTGAGGGCGGCTGCAGAGTCGGGTACCACTGTAATTGAAAGTTTTCATCAGAAGGTGACCTCTTGTTGAAGAAAACAGATACACAGATGACAAATTGATCCACATTAACAAAGAGACTTTTGCTCTCACACACACACAAACAACATGAAGACAGAATTGCATCTTGCTAATTAGCTGCAGCAGAGACAATGCCTTCCTTGTTCCATGCTGGTCCAGCTTCGCTGGCAGACAAGCCTCTACTTGACAGTGAATTCTCCTGATGCTCCTTTTCAAGGCCTCTAAGTGTTCTTCGTAAAGAAAGTGAAACCAATTTTATCTTAATCAGAGTTCCAGCTCTGCTCATTTCAGAGTACATATAAAATAACTCAAGGTCCAAAATTCAATTATTTGAATCCATCATGAGAAACAAACATAGCTATCATCTCATGTGTGGCTGCATTTCCTGAAGAATATTTCCTGAGAAATCTTGCTTGTTATGGAGTTTGTTGCACTTGAGTCTTTGAATTTTGGAGGACAAGTGTATTGAAAATAGCTGTGCGAGGGAAGATTCTGTTTTTATTTTTTTTTATTTTTTTGGTCTGGCCCAATTGGTTATTTTTATACACACATTTTCCTGTTTAAAAAAAATGAATTTCCATGCAACCTTGACATACTTGGAGGTAATAATTACATTATTGTTAAACTGACTTAGGGACAGCTTGCAGATAACTCGGTATGAAAAGCATACAGGAATAATAAAACAATAAAATATGGCTAGTTTTTTTATTTAGACCTCAAACTCCAAATAAGGTACAGTGAAATATAACAAAAGGGCAATACATTATTGATTTTTGGTTTCCAAATATTTTTTTTTAAAGTTCTAGGACAGTTCATCATGTGTTCATTCTGTTCTGGCTCACATACTGAGTAGAAATATCTCAGATTAGCTTCTTTTTTTTTTTGAGATTTTTACAGGGTCAGCTGGCACTATTTTGTGTTTTTCTAAACTAATAATGTGTTAATCAGTATCAATGCTTTTCTGCTTCCCTACCCTGCCAGTCCACTGGTTCCTACTGAAGATTTACAGTAAATCCTTAAAGATAGGTCACAAATACATAATGGAATTTCTCAAAAAGCATATTTCTTAGAACAGCTGGGAATTATAGTTTTTAGACAGCATCGCTTGAGTAATTATGGCATATTTTAAGCTTGGTCCTGTGAGATGCGGAACCTTTGACGGACTGCTGTTTCCTGCGGTAAACCGTACTCATTTCCTGTTTTCTGTATTTGCACTGTGTTGTGCTTGCTTCCAGATTGTTTAGGAATTAAACTCACTATTTTCTAGGTTCATCTGAATTTTTGAGTGACAACATACGCTTGCACCACTTGTTTTGCAGAAGTTCTTGCTAACTACCAAATTTTACTTTAGGTCGGCTAGTTTAGAAGCTAGCTAAGCTAGTAGCTTAATCGAGAGCAATGGCTTCCCCCTCTTCCTCTCCTCCTTTCTCTTGCTCGGAGTGTCGCATGTTCAGTTAGTCCTCTGCCTCCTTTAGCGATAATGGTACTTGTAATAAATGTCAGATGCTAGCAGCATTGGAGGCGAGGCTCACAGACTTAGAAGCGCGGCTCCACACTATGGAGAATAGGCCAGCTAGCTATGCCCACGTAGCTGGTGCGGAGCCTCCTAGACGTAGCTTAACCCAAACTGGAAAACTCAAAAGCCTGTTCTGTTTGTTATTGTATACCGTCCACCTGCTCCTTATTCAGAGTTTTTAAGTGAATTCTCAAACTTTGTCTGATTTAGTGCTTAGTACAGATAAAATAATCATAGTAGGCGACTTTAATATTCATGTAGATGCCAACAATGACAGCCTCAACAATGCATTCTGTTCATTATTAGACTCAGTTGGCTTCTCTCAAACTGTAAATAAACC